AGAACTAGGCCAACTCTTATGTTTGGTATTTTACTTAGCCTTTTAATGGCCTCGTCCAAATATCTGATATGTAAAATGGAAAAGGTATTAATTAATAAAACCATTAAAAAACCATTTAGGAAACTTAAGTTCCTCGTACTATTAAGAGTACGTTTATAATTTACGTACTGCTTAAGAGTACGTTTATAACATAGAGTGTAATGTGGAGGCCCGGCTATTACACATACACATACACCTGCATACACATGCATACACACATACATACACATGCATACCTATACATATGTACAAACACATACAGATGAAAAAACACATACACATGCAAACACTCATACATACACATGCATACATATACATACACATACACATACACATGAATACACACATGTACATGCATACACATATACATACACATGCACATGCACATGCGTACACACATATATACACTTGTATATACACATACACATACACACGAATACACACATACAATCAACGTACCTGATAGGAATTCTCAGCAAAACAGAGAACGCTCGGTGCGTGGCAGCCACTTTTAGCTTGTTTGCGCCAAAACTATTCATAATCTTTCACCACATCACCCCACATACTCCCATAATTTCTTGGATATTTTCTCCGGAAAATCGGCCTCATTCGCACATGATGTACGTACAGCGTAGACTAGTGTCATATCCATAGGTGAGGCATCCTTGATTTGATTTATGAAATAATGGGGGTTCTCTCGGGGCACTTCCTCGTTGGCTATTTTCTCAAGGTCAACCTTCCAGGCATCCAAGTTAGGCAGCGAGGGATACATCGGCTTAATCTCAGACAGGTCTCCAATTAGGCGGGCAGCATCTATTTCCTTTTGATTGTAGCAATATGCTGGATTAGAGTACTTCTTGGCCAGCAGAACCCAGCATGGATGCTTCCATTTTATTTGTCCATTATCTAACATTGCTCGGTCTTTGTGACCTGCTTTGGTAGCCATAAAATACGGAAGATGGATCGGATCATTCAGCATGGCCAACAAGCGACATACAGAATGCAAGGAGCGACGTATCGCGGGGTTGTCTTTGACTAGGTTATTAGCTTTTGATACGGCTTTCTTGTTGTTTGCACTGGCTCTAGCTCGTTTATCAACAGGACTAAGTGATAGGGGTGTGTACTTCCAGTGAGCATCAAGCCCTAAGGTTACGTGCGCCTCATCATTCATAGTCAAGACCTTGTCTTGAACATCCTTGGGAGCAAAGAAGGAGGGTAACCCCACGCGTACGATTTGGACATTTGTCCTGGGACATACAATCCTGTTGCGATGTCAAACACGGTGTCGAGCACAAGGCTTTTGTCGATCATCATCCTACGCTGATATTCCTTCCACATATTTGATTTAATGAATGACATGTAGCTTGGTGGCTCTGTTCGAAGTACCTCGGTCGCGGTGGGATCGGCTGAAATCACTGAATCAGCTGGTGAATTAATTTTTGGGTTCTCTTTGGCAGGCTTGTCTTGAGAAGTATGCTCTACTGATGGATCTACAATCGATTGTTGTGATACCGGCGAAGATGTTGTTCCCCTGGATATCGACATATATAGTGTGTATGTTTCAGTAGATAATATTTCCCTCGCAATTGGTGGTGGAATAGTAATAGGTTGTTCTAACGCAGGTGCTAATCCAGCTGTGCGAGGTACCGACGCCTCCGATACATGCTCTAATACCGATGAGGATTGATCTGGAGCTGGCATACTAGGATAGAACGTCGAGAGAAAACCATCGCGCATCCCGTCAGCCGACGGCATCGATGGCATTTTCTTCGGCTCCATATGCCTCTTTCTAGGTATCGGTGGTATCAGTGTCAAGCTTTCCTCGCGCTCTCTTTTAGCCATGATAAGATCCAACTCACTGTACTCATCATCACACTGAACGTCACTGTCACCATGCAATAACGTTGGAAGCCCGTCAAAGTCGTCTTCGATATGATACATAGGCTGATAACCACTGTCGTGCTCGCTGCGTGGAGTATTGTTAATCTGCACAGCAGCGCATTGTTCGACTGTTGTACACTAGTGTATTTGGTACTTGGTTGCTGGATATCAAAGGCCTGGTTGTTTATAGTGCTACTCGAATTGTTCTGGTTGACACCATCTGTCGATGCTCGGACAGCAATGCAAGAGTCGTACAGCTGTTGAGCACTAGTGTGTTTGATTTTTGGCTTGGTTTAGGGTTTAGCAGAAGCCCAGTTGTCGATAGTATAACTTGATCTTTTGCTGTTGATACCATCGGGTGACGTTCTGAATGGTAAGTGCGCTCTCACTAAACCAGTATCTACCACGCATGCACCATCTGGACCCTCTGATGTTGCTGCAGATTGAAACACAGCTTCTGGTGTCCGTGTCCGCTTGGTTGGCACACGTACTGTCTTCTATTTCTTGGTATGCTAGTTGTTTCTTGCGTGCTGACCCCGTCCCGGCAGTACCGTATGAAACCCTTCAAGGGTCTACTGCTGATGCTGATGCTGATGCTGATGCTGCTGCATCATGCTGTGCATCTTCTTCGCTCGACTTGTAGTGTTGGCTGCCATGATCGACTGGTTTATTGTTTATTACTACAGATAGTAAAGAGGTCTTCATAATGAGAATAATATTTCGGTTGTATACACAAATCCCAATAGACTTGTGCAAAAGCAAAGGTGTTACGGTTGTGTATGTACAACTTGTCCGTTGGAAGCTTTGTTTGTAGAAAGTATTTGTTGTTGTGTGTCCATATTTGATAGCCTTCGGGCGGGTTGTGATAGCCAATGAGACGTGACCAACCGCACCGCAACGATATGTACGTTTTCTGGCCGATTTCGAGCGTTTACGTAATATTTGGGCCTATAACGTAAAACTATAGCGGTCTCCGGAGATTTTCGAATGTCGCAGACCCTCGAAAACTTGTCCTCTAAATTTTAGGTTTTCAGAATAGTGGAAAATCATACAGGCCCTCTGATTGGCTAACAACTATTTTGAACAATAATGTGTTTACTATTTTGTGAAACTATTCTTCGTTTAAATGGTCCCTCAGTCTAAAATATCTAGATCAAATGAGATAACACATTGGTTTTTATTTGTACTTAAAATAATAAGTTCCTTTTCCAATATTTCCAAAGTGATCTAAATTCACTTTGATGGCTCCAATTGACTCATTTACTTGGACCGATTTGAGACGATAGTAGATGTAGGATATTGTAAACTAAATTTTACAATTTCTGAACTACTACAGGTTTTTGTCTTCCCGCCAATCTTTCAAAATCCAATAAGTCTTTTTCTTTTTTTAACTTCTTCAGATGGAACTTTATTTATATTAGCTAATGTATTAACTTGACTTACCTTCTTATGTCTATCTACAAATTAGACATGTGGTCATGAACACTTAGTACTTCTAGTAAAAATTATTCAATAAAGAACATCTAGATGTACGTCCTATGTGCTCGAGGATATTAAGGCTCTTACCAAGAGGCAGTCCCGATCATTCTTACACAAGCAACCGCTGCTAGATCCCAACTGACTTAAATTGTATCTTAGTTTATATAACATAGTTTAAAACAAATAAATATCCATCGAAGTTTACATCTTTTTCAGTTTTTTAGTAGTTACCGTAGTGTACTGCTTCTAGACTGTCTAACAATTGCTTACTATCCAGCGACAGGACTGTAAGTATTCTATACTACCTCATAGCGGCTAATACTACCCTAAAGTTAGCTACACGCTAGTTACTATACCTAGACTTTATTAATTTTCCTATTTTTGAGCTATGACTATGGCTAAAGGAAATTCTACAGGCAAGGGAGCCGCCAGCTCTAAGCCTGCTAAGCCTGTTGAGGTTTCTGAGGTTAATGAGGACGCTGGTCCGTCTGGTACTGAGCCTGCCGTTGAAGCTGTAGAGGAAGCCGTTTCTGAGCTTGGTTCTGAGGAAAACTCTGAGGATGACTCGTCGGACCCTAAAGCCTTGGAAGTGGAGGTCTCAACTGACGCGGAAAGGCTCGCCAGCGTCTGTGTGTCTCCTAGTAGTGCAGCCCAGGGCATCAGCTCGCCATCTGACCGCGAAAAGTCAGATATTGAAAAGGCTATATCTCCTGAACAAGTGGAGGAATCGTCTGGAGATCAACGGTTTATTACTACTAAACGTCAGCCCAATCTACCTATTAGCAAAAATGGTGGCGTTCCATTTCGTGAAATTTCATTGAATGCTTCGCCACTGAATGCCTCGCCACTGCATGCCTCGCCACTGAATGTTGGGGCGGAAGACGCAAATGTTGGTGACGCCATAACTCGACAACGAGTGGTTGGATCTTCTCAATCTCGACGCCATTTGAATCGCAAAGATGAGCTTTTAAGACAATCGACCATCCTCTCGACAAACTTAAACTTGTCAGAGGCTATGATCGTACGGAAATCGATGAGGCTTACCACCCTCATAACATCAATCCTCATTTACCATCTAACCCTGGTAATCACGACTTTGGTAATCGTTATACCAGTACCTCACACGAGACTACTGTCCACTCTAGCTCTGAAGACGAGGAAGTGAGAACCAGACAACATCGTCTCAGGCTATTACGTTCTGGTATGCAAGTCCTTGAGGACCGTCTATTGAATGACTCTGACCTTAACGATAAGAAAGTGGATAACATTCGCTATCTAATCGATAACAAGAGGAAGGAGATAGGCTCCATCCTGGCACTAGCAGCCCGTAGCACTGAGCGTGAGCCTCGTGAACGCTTCAAACCAAGCTTTATAAAGTAGCTAGGTAACGTGGAGGCTGTGGTCGATTCCTCTACTTATAAGAGTACAGTGGAGACACTGAAGGCCTTTGATCAACTTAAGGAGTCTACCAGCCTTACGGATAAGCAGATAATGAATGCCTTTATTCATTTCTGTGAGTCAGAGGAAAGGAAAACCATCTTGAAGACCCATGAGCCCAACTGGAAAGCCCTACCCTGGCGCCAGTTGCGTGATAATATACTTAACGCCTTCGTTGAAGATGCGCGTGGCCGTGAATTTCTAGAGTCTCGCAAGTACTTTGCAAACGATACTACTATCGAGGTGTTCTAGCTCATATCACATATGAACACTCGGATGGGAGGTCGTACCTATACTGGCAAAAATTTATTAATTTGTCGGATGAGGGATACTCTGGGAGCTAACCTTTTTAAAAAGGTCAATGATGATATTATCGCCTATGGTGATTTGCAATTTATGCACTGGTCTGTCTTTGAGAAGATAATTAAAAAGCATACCAACCCATCTACTAGAGTACTTAGTACCTCGAGCTTTACCCAGCCCTCTAAGCATACCGCGATAGAGAATAACACTGCGCGTAATACTAAGAAACTTCGCACTACTGCTGGAGGTGATAAAGGCTCTACTTCTACTGAACAAAAGGGCGAAAGGAAGGAGAGAGCACCTTGCAAGAAGTGTGGTTGCAACCTCATTAAACGTGATGGCATGATGGCAAGTGGAATGGTCATCACCATTCTGTTAAGTGTGCACCAGGCCAGCCAAACTTTGGACACTATATGAAAGAGTGTACTACTTGCAAGGGTACTAACGGTTGGCACAACGACGATTGCAAGGACATACCGGACGTCCAAGGTAAGCACTGACAGTTCCATATGTGTGCACTAGAGCAAGATTATGAGAAAAAGTTCAATAAAACCTATACCAAAGGAGATGAACGTATTTTTTAAACCGTTTATGTAAATGGAGAAAAAGTTATAGCACTATTTGATCCAGGGGCTGAAGTCTCTACTATCTCACGCCGAGTAGCCTACGCTACAGATATGGCTATCCATAACGAAACAACTAATTTAATCTTGGGAAATGGCAAAGTTACCACTTGCGAAGAAGCCATTGACTATGCACGCATAATGTTGTCATATAGAAGAGAAGCAAAGACTCACCTAATCGTTACTGACATGTCTCAGAAATACGATTTAATTATAGGTATGACTGAACTTCTCAGTTTAAGTATAACACTCACTGGTCTGCCTAATGAGCTAGACCCAAATAAAGATCAGTCAGATGATAATATGTTAAAGATACCTAAACCTCCAGAAGGTGAAGCAAAGGATATGATTCCACACTTTACCAATATAATTATGGACTTAATTATACAAAACAGGAAGATTGCAATAACTGACTGGTGTATGTTTAAGTTGTCTAACGGCTACGTTAAACTTGACTTAACAAACGTCGACTTCTCTAAGTTAAAGTGTCCTTCCCATAACTACGTAAATTGAAGACACAAAGACGTTGTTAAAACCCAAATTGAAGATTGGTTAAAACAGGGTCTAATTGAAATCAATTATGACGCAACCCCAGTTAATTTAGCTCTCTTAGCGGTCGATCAATATAAATTTGATGGAACGTTAAGTAAAACAAGAGTAGTACTAGACCTGTCGCCAATCAACAAACTAATTCCGCAACATAGTTTTCTCTCACCAAAGATAAGCGAGATACTACGCGAAATGGAAGGTGTGACTATCTTTTCCAAGGTAGACTTAAAAGCTGCATTCCATCAATTACAAATATATGAGCCGCATAGGAAATGCTTTTCCTTTACTGGGCAAGGTAAGAAGTACCAGCTTAAAGGTGCACGTGAATGCTTACACATGTTACCTTCTTTCTTCCAACAAGTTATGATGGAACTATTTGCGGACCTGTCGTATAACGTATCAGTCTATTT